TTTTTGCCATCGAGAAAAAGTGCAATATTTGATCCTGAAAGTGCAATGCAATCGTATAAAAGTGAAAATTTTATACTTTTCACGTTAAACAACATTTTCAAACACACACTATATATATATATATATATATATATATATATATATATATATATATATAAGATCAAATAAGAAAAATAGTCATTTTGAAAACGTGAGAACACACAGATTTCCCCCAATGTGATGCGCAATGAAACTATTCCGTTGCACTTTTGTCGCGTTACCACAATATTTACCAAAATGCAATCACATTTATTTAACTGCGCGAGCTCCGTTGTGCAACACTTGAGTTAAATGTGTGTGTTCTCATGTGATAGCTAACCATATATCCGGCCCTCGAACGATTATAGTTTGAATCAGCTTGAGTTAAATGTGTGTGTTCTCATGTGATAGCAACACTTGAGCTCCAATAATTGCTTGATCTAATATAGTTTGAATGTTTTCCACAGAAAAGGATAGGTAAAAGTAGCAAATCAGCCCTCGAACTAACTTAAAAAGTGCAAATCACCCCTTTTATAGGAGGCTCTATCCGGCCGTCGCCATTTGAGATGGTTCTCAGGTGGAATTTTTGATGAATTTTTTTAGCATCTTATTCATTAAGTCTAGTTTATCCATACCAAATTTCAACTAAAAAATCAATCGGGTTGGCAGTCAAATGAATTTTTGAAGACAATCCGGTTGAAGTTTTAGCTGAAATTTGGTATGGGTAAACTAGACTTAATGAAGAAGATTCTCAAAACAATTCATCAGAAAACTCTACCGGGAACCACCACAAATGGCGACGGCTGGACAGAGCCTCCCATAAAAGGGGAGATTTGCACTTTTTAATTTAGTTCGAGGGCTGATTTGCTACTTTTCCCTATCTTTTTTTGTGGAAAACATTTAAACTATATTAGATCAAGCAATCATTGGTCAACTTGCTTACAACGCATTCAAGCACCATAGAATAGGTGACTTTGCAACCTGATAAAGAAACTTCAGCTCTAGCAAAAATATGAGCAGCACAATTCGCAAATCGCCAACAATAACTAACAATATATAATGCTCTCATCAGATAGCAACATTAGTCTAATATCATCAAGAAAATAAACCTGACCCCCCTGAATCTCAGACACGACTAGGAAAGCATTGGTTTCAACGATCGTACGTGACTAACCTTTCTCCTTTGCGTAAACCATCACTTCACGCACTCCCACCGCGCACATCCATTAACAACGGTGACCAATCTTCTACCACCGCTTCCTGTTGGCCTTGAATAAACTACACGTTCTCATCTCATGCAATCCATCTTCAAACTGTAACTCCCTTATGTTGATTAATTTCTAGAGAGAATGAAAGCTAGAATTAAAGAGAAGTGAGTAGTGTATATTATGAATAATCTTCTTACATGCTCTCAAGGGGAGCTAGTATTTAAAGGGGAAACATGGTCTGGACTACTAATGAGGTGCCATTTGGTCCTAATAGGTCCAATTACATAAAGGACTAATAAATTACATAAAAGCTAATCTAATATGCATAAATGAATATTTGAATGTATAGTATGATAAGACTAACTATCGAACGTATGTAGGTTATTGTCTGAGCACAATGATTACAAGACCGGGTTCTGAGTTCATATAGTAGTCTACCAATTGGAGGATTTAGGAGGCGTACGTGAAACTCTCTTCCTCCTTTGGATACACCCATATAGTTAAAAGATTGAAGTTAGAGTTTATATACTCAATTACTCATACAAATATAATAACTAGAGTTATCAGTGTCGTCCAAAATTTACTACCATTGATCAAACAAAGTCAATTCGACCAAATTTTGTGGGACGATGATAGTAATTTATACTCCGTATGTAATTAAAAATTTCCCTTTTAAATAAAAACATTATCAATTTGTTTGTAGTCTAAATAAAATTGCATTTTAAAACAATCAGCACATGAAAGATTTGAATATATAGAGAAAAAATAAATATGATTTTAGAAATGAAGAACTTTTTACAATAAATTATAATAGCTTTAGTACATCATGATCACTTTCTTATTATTTAATGAAGAACATTAAAAACAATTTCTCTAAAAAAATGTAGCATTACTTAAGAGTAAATTAAATGATATAAAAACATAAACTAATCAGTAGGACTTTTCACGTGTCTCTAAAACATTTAACATTATAAATCGCTTACTTTAAAAAGAAAATTCAATGCTATTTGAAAAACTAAATAAACAAGTTAAACTCAAATTGTCCGAAAGTAGTGCATATTAATATTCATTTATGTTAGTTATTAATATTAATTTCACTATTATTTATTTATTTATTTACAAAAAATATAAAAAATGGGAGCCCTTTAGAGGTGGGGCCCCTAGGCACGGTTCCTAGGGTAACTAACCCCAAAAGCCGCCACTACACATATACTAATTCACATTTTTTATCCACGTGGGGAAACCACTAGGTCAGTGGGATACACCTATATATATATATATATATATATATATATATAGAAAAAATAAATATGATTTTAGAAATGAAGAACTTTTTACAATAAATTATAATAGCTTTAGTACATTATGTTCACTTTCTTAGGGTAACTCACCCCCCAAAGCCGCCAAAGCCGCCACTACACATATACTAATTCATATTTTTTATCCACGTGGGGAAACCACTAGGTCAGTGGGATACACCTATATATATATATAGAAAAAATAAATATGATTTTAGAAATGAAGAACTTTTTACAATAAATTATAATAGCTTTAGTACATTATGATCACTTTCTTAGGGTAACTCACCCCCAAAGCCGCCAAAGCCGCCACTACACATATACTAATTCATATTTTTTATCCACGTGGGGAAACCACTAGGTCAGTGGGATACACCTACACACACACACACACACACACACACACACACTTGCTCAATTATTGATAAATAAGTGCAACGATTAACTTTTCACATTTTCCGATATACAACTTTGACCATTAATACATATAAATTCTATTAGTAAAAAATTAAAAATAAAATCAGATTTTTAAAATTTAGTACGAGACAAATTTAACAGTATTTTTTTCAAAAAAATTATTAATACATTAATAATACAACACAGTCAAATTAGAAAATGTGAATAATGTAAAATTCAACATGTTGCACATATTTAAAAACGAAGGTAGTATATATGTATGTGTGTGTGCGCGCGCTCGCGTGTGTTTGTGTGTACATTCATGCATGTATGTTCACATATCACATGGTTATATTGCAGGTATTATGATGACTTGCGCCCTTATGCTATACTGGAGACGGTTCCAAGTGTAGCTGTTGTTTTAATGGCCATTGTGGTACCTCCAAGATATACACATTCTTCGTATTGGTTGTGGGCTGCAGGTTTATATATAACATAATTTGAATTGCCTTTCTTCATTCCACTCCTTCCACGCTATTTGTTTCATCATATTTTATAAATGTTGTGTACACACACAATGTTTTAAAAGGTGCTAGGCGCTAGTCGAGCGCTAGCCCAATGCCTAACGCCTAGGCGGCTAGGCGGGGACTAGTCGGAGACATAAAAATTATAGTTTTTTCAATATTTTTGCATAAATATGATTAGTAATGTTGTGTTTGTGTGTATAAAAACACACACATTGACATGCATGAATGATAGAGATATCACATGTAATAAATTTTATTAAATAATAATAATAACACTTAAGATCATATATAAACATGTATTGTTTTTATCTTAATCTACAATTAGTTACTTTCTTCATTTGAATTGTTAAAGTTAAAGGTACACATATATCTTAATATACTAAAATAAAATAAAAAATAAAAAAAATGTTCGACGAATATAGACGCCTAGGCGGCCGATTAAGTGCTTTGGGCGGGCAATTAGGCGCCCTAGGTGGCCGACTAATTCACCTAGGCGCCAAATCAATTAGTCGGAGCGCTTAGACTAAAATTGGGGCGCCCGGCCCCCGCCTAGCGCCTAGGCATGGACTAGTCGGGCGCCTAGAGCAATTGTTAGAACAGTGTGTGCGCGCGCGTGTCTGCTTGAGTGATAAATGCATTTAATCTGAATTGAAAACAAGAATGAACCGTGGCCGTTGAATTGACGTTGTTGCACTAAAACATTTTCATTTTTCAATAAAATCTGAAATTGACAAAGTTGCATTAAAATAACTTCATGTTGCATAAGAATTTAATGATGTTGCACTAAAATAACTTCATATTACACTAAAGAGATGCAAAACATGGTTTTTAAAAATATTTACAAAAATGTCACCACACATAGTTGCATTTTTAGTGCATTGTGAAGCTCTTTTCTATTAACATAATCAATTTCGACGATTCAAATTCATTCTCATTCTTACCTACATGATTCTTCTTACTAGAGTCGCACCCTACACACATGCACACACACGTGTGTGTGTGAATTGTTTTGCTATCCCAGTAGGCAAACCATCCAGAGGAATAGAGGATGATAAGATAAATGTTGAAGAATAGTTAATTAGTTACCAAATTTTACTAGATTACCATCGATGTAAAAGAGGATGACAAGATAAAATCATTTCTCATCAAAGATATAAACGGAGAATAAAATGTTAATATGTTGTTATTCAAAGCATTTATAACATTTAAGGGACAATCAACAACATTATACTAGTATATGTTAATCACATATAATCCAACAATGAAGCAAGAAATGCAAATTGGAGAGTAGAAGAAAGTTTTAATGGCATATTAAATATCAATAATAATATTAAGGGTGACAATGAACAAGGTATTCAAATAGAGAGGTGTGACGCTCTCTATTAAATATGAATGCATGAATGTGAAAGTTAGGATAAAGGAAGCGTATCCTTCAGCTATATAACAATTAAAGGTTAGGCTTCCGTATTACATGAAGCTTACGATCCCAAATACAAAGTGTGGGTTCCAGTTTATTCAAGAATCACAACAATAAAAGCACTATGCAGAGAGTAGATGAGCAATAATGGTGTATTGAATACAATAGAGTTGAAGAATTACAGCTCAATTATTCAATGTAAAAGTGAAACAACGGCTCCTCTCTATGGAAAATATGGATGCGTTGAACAACGTTAGGGTTACAGAAGTCTAGTCTTCAACTAAACTTTAAACGAAGCTTAGACTTCCGTATTACAAACGGATTACGAGCCTAAAATTGACCTGAAACAGTTTAATAACTAACCTATTAAACACACAAATACAAGGATAAATAATGAAAATAGACACAACAAAATATATTCCTAACAATCTCCCCCTGTGTGTCAATTTGCGTTGAAGCAAAGGTATCTTTGTCTTTGTGTTGACCGGCTTCCTCATTTGTATTCAGACTTCAGAGATGTTCAAATCACATTGTCTAAATTTGATTCTTAACAATTTCCCCTTTGATGATGGAGTGTAGCAGTCTCCCCTTTTATTTCAAACCAGCTTCCTTTTTTTGTCGAAGTTGATCTTGATCAGAATGAATGAAGTCTAGTGTCGCATCTAGATTGATTGTTCTGATGGAATTAACATGGGAGCAAGCTTTATCTTTCTATTTCATATTGTCCAATCCAAGTCTCCTCTACAGTGTAGTTTTTTAACTATTTGATCTGATATAATTTGAGGAGCACTTGTTGGTGGCGCAACATGAATGATGAGTGAATTTTAGAGTGTGTTGACCACTTGATTGAAGCTGATTTGGTAGGACTTGTAGATCGTGGAGATTGAATTGTAGCTCAAATTCTTTGCAATAATGTTTGTGATGGAGGACCTGAGCTCTTCAGATGAATCCAAGAACGATTTAGCAGCTGATGAAGTCATCAAGAAATTAGGAGTGCGAGTTCGTTGAAGTAACCCGTCACTTATTCGGAGGAGATATATGTTCGATAATGATGTGTTGAGGTTTGATTCACGTGAACTACTCTCCCCTCATGACGGTTCAATCCATCAGGACATCATGCTTATTATGTTGAATAATAGTGGGTTTTAGTTTATCAAAGAATCACATCAATAAAAGCACAAATAAGAGACTAGATGAACAATAATGGTGTATTAAATACGATAGATATGAAGAATTACAGATCGAGTATTGAATGCAACAGTGAAATAGCAGCTCCTCTCTTCGGAAAGTATAGATACGTTGAACAACTTTAGGCTTAAATAATAACTGAAAGTTAGACTTTTGTAATACAAAATGATAACGGGCCTAAAACATACTTGCCTGAGTTTAATAACTAACCTATTAAATACCCAAATAAAAGAATAAATAACGAAAATAGATATATAAAATACTCTGTTCTATTTTTTTTTGGATGAAATGTAAGTATATTAAAACACCCAAAAAATAACATATTACAATGTGTCAAAACTATCTAAGCTAGTACGAGAACTAACAAAATAGTATCCAAACGGCACGGGACAGGCCCGACACGTATCAAAAAGTCAAGTAAACAAAAACGGACTGGCCCATGAATAACCAGTCCAAGAACCCGAAGGTCCGTCAAAACAGCGAAGCCCAGCTTCCTGTGTCAAGATCAGCCAACAAATGGAGGAGGCCCAGCATTGTCCGCAGCAATCCAGGCCTGTATCCAGCCCAAGTCCACAGCACACTCTAGCGAGCTAGGGTTGGCTGTGTTCCGGGTCAGCCCAGACCCGTCCATCGCTACGAAGGGGGCGCCACAGTGTAGAGCGGCAAACCAAAACCTCTGACCCACCAGACCCCCCCACCCCCACCCCCACCACCCCATCTGGGTTCCGGCGTCCCCCAAACAGTCTGGTGGCCAGAGAGGAGGGCAAAGAACCAGCCGTAGAAAATCACGCTAATCGAAAATCCACCTGCCACCTTCTACCCCCGTCGAGCCCCGGCAGCCCCCAGCGGCGTCGGCAGAAGGCTTTCAGCAGCGATTAACAGTAGCTGGAAAAGTGCCAAACACCATGAACCAAACAACAGTCCACACCATAGATCCACAGTGAGAGATCCCATGCCGGGACACCCATCAGTCGTCTTCCCTGGCTAAAACCACCACGAACAGAGAAGAGACCCCAAACCCCAACGTCAAGATGTCACTAGGCATGAAGTAAGAAAAATGCAAAGCTCATCCTGAAAAAAGGCATCCACGGCCAGACTGGTTGACTAACAAGAAGACGTACCAGAGTAAGAACACCTTATTTTTCAGAAGATGGCCGTCGGGGGCTGCGAACTCCAAAACCCGGCTTTGGCCCAGCGCGAGATCCGTAATGAAGCAGTGGAGGAACGATGGCCGCATGAAAGAACTGCTCCGGGACCCCTCCACCCGAAGCTGCCACGGTAAACGCCATCATCCTTGGTAAGTGAGCATCTGCAAGCTCTCTGAAGCAGCGAGAGAAGCAAACATGATCCAAAACATACTGGGAAGCTAAGGACCATTAACGAGCGTCCCCATCCACTGTTCTTTGAATACTTAGCATTCCCCAACCGTACCGGTGCTACGTCCGTGAATGAAGAGGAAAAGATGAGAATGGACACAACGGTCATCTTCTGAAGCATAAACCCATGGTTGTGAAACCATCGGAACCCATCTGGCCGCATCCGCCTGAATCTGGACTTGCTTGCATCCCTGATGCATCGGCCATGGACCTTCAACCAAGAACCCAGGACCCCATCCAGTCGCAGTGAGGTAGCCAAAATATTTCCAAAGATATTAGCCTAACCCAAGCACCAAGCCAACTGGAGCCAGGAGGGCCCTGGCGGCGCACCACCAAGGACGGCGGTGCCGGAAGCCTTGAGGAGAAGAAACTAGCCGCGAGTGGCTAGAGAGAGAACGCTCTCAACTCCTCCTTTTAAAATACTCTGTTCTAAAAGGCGCTAGTCGGGGTGACTGGTTGCCTAGCATCAGCCCGCTTAGGCGCCGACTAGGGCGCCTAAGTATTTCCCCTTTAATTTATTTCATTTTTTTATTTTTATTTCATTTGAATCTTAATTATATTACTAATACTTTTATAATATTTTGAGAATAGATATAGCTCATATATACAATCATTAAATATTATTTTTTTATAGTAAAATCATCAATAATGAAATAATTTATAGATAGATTAAGATATTTGTTTTTAGTCTCTAAAAATGTTAAAATACATTCTAAGAAGTTTATATATTTTTGAAGCTTATTTTTAATTGTAGGAATAATATGAAAATAAATCATGTTAGATTAGAATACTTTTTTATCAGACGATGGTTTAAGATAAACGAGACAAATAAGTTGGGTCGGAATTTTTTTACCAGCCCGCCTAGGCGTCTAAACGATTTTTTCCACCGATTACAACAAAATCGAGGCCCCCGGCCACCGCTTATTGACTAGGCGGCGCCTAGACACTGATTTTTAGAACCATGATAAAATATATTCCTAACACAAAGATGGCTGGGTCTAATAACTAACCTATTTAATACACAAATGCAAAGATAACTAATGCAATTGGACACAATAAAATATATTTCTAACAATCTCCCTCTTTGTGTTCAATTTGCGTTAATGCGCAGTTTATTTCTTTGTCTTTATGTTCAGTGGTTTTCCCTCTTTTTATTCAAACTTCAGAGATGCTCAAATAATCTTATTTACTTTGATTCCTACCAATCTCCCCTTCGATGACAGAGTCGGGCAGTCTTCTCTTTATTTCAAATCAAGCTCTCTTTTGACGAAATTGCTCTTGATTAGCAAGTATGTTTATGGGATTTGTTCCTAGCAACTTGGTAATTGTATAACATTCTATGTTTAATTATGTACTTAAATGTATGTAGTACTATGTAAGAATGTTTATATTTGAATATTTAGATTATCTGTAATAATAAGCGGCCGTTTTCCCTCTAGTTAGGGTTTCACATCCGCCAATCTTAGCGATTGGGCAGCGCTTGTATCATCGTTTGTCCTTCGGCGATTTTCCTTGGTGGGGAGACGAAGAAGAGGCATACGACTTTGTGGGTGTTCAGCAGCAGTGAGAGGATGGCGTCGTCGAACGTACGGAAGATGGGTCAGTTGATAGGGCAGTGCAACAAGTTGGAGATTGGGAATGAGAAGGATGAACTGGTGCTCGATGAGGATGACAACAATCTCAGCATAGAGGATCGCAGGGAGCAGACGTATCAGGTGGTCGGCACTTTGTTAACAGATAAAATGGTGAAGTTCCAAACATTTAGGGACTTGATGGCGGCGTTATGGCCCCCATGCCAGGCAATGGCGTTTCTATTAAAGAAATTGGAGAACAGAGGTATCTAATTAAATTTTATCATATTGTTGACATGAAGCGTGTTCTTGATAATGGGACCTTGGCTATTTGAACAAAATTTGTTGGTTTTAAGAGTCATAGAACCAGGGGATATTCTTTGTAGGGTACCCTTGAACTTGGTTGAATTCTGGGTACAAGTGCATAATGTACACTATGGCTATTTCAATTTAGCAACTGCTAGGCATATTGGAAACTATTTTTGGACTTTTGTTAAATGGGATGATAATCAATATGATGACAAATAGGAGGCATATATACGGATTAGAATTTGTATGGACATAGGCAAACCGCTAAAGACTGGTACTACTATTAAGAAAGGTAAAGGGGAGGGGCTACTGGGTGGATTTTAAGTATGAAAAGCTATCTAGTTTCTGTTTTGTGCATGGAGTTTTTCTGGCCAATGGACCAGGACTCCGAGAGGGGGGGGGGGGGACAATGTCCCTCTTTAGGCAACAAGTGGTTGGTCCAAGAGGGAGCCTTAACAACAGAAGCAAGCAAGATGGATTATAATGCCAGGTGGGATTAGGAGCCGCTGAGCTCTCGTCACATGGAGGAGGAGACTTGGGATTGGATGGTGGCGAAGTAGGGTCGGGAGATCAGAAGAGGAGGTGTATGTTGGAAGAGCAAGTGAATGAAGACCCTGAGGCGGAAGAAATGGCTCTTGATGAACTTAAAACGGGGCAGTGGCGGGTGTTGGTTCTCAGACCCATCCAGATTTGTGAAGATCTGGCTATTCGTGTGGTTGGGAGGACATCTTTATTTAATTTCTTCTATTTTTATTGCATGCTTTTATTTCGAACTGAATGTTGTTTACATTGTGTTTTTGTTTTCGAGTAGCAAAACTTTAGAATTTAAGTCAGGTGATAAGGAGTCTGGATTGTTCATCATTGGGTCAGGTAAGCCCATTATAGGATCTATGAGTCTTATTGCTTCAAGTCTTAAAGTCTGGTTCGAGGGCACACGGTCAACTGAGGACTTTTTGACGTTATGTAACTTGCATAAGTTCTGATTATTTAATAAGCCACTTTCTTTCAAAAAAACATTATATCTTCATGGTTTGACTTTACGGTTTTTAAGAAAGTGGAATTTTTTGTTTTGACTTTCCCATCATATCCCTACAAAAAGTAGATAAAGTGTAGTGGGAAAGAGAAAGTTGGTGTAAAGTAGATAATAAAGTAAGGGTATATGGGTAACTTTATAATAAAAAGTTGCCAAAAATAGAAGTGTGAAGTTTATTTTGAACCTATCCAAAAGGAAAGTGTGAAGTTTATTTAGGACAGTAGGGAGTATGTAATACTCCGTATTTACTAGCTATTAGTTCTTTAACAAATTTATAAGATAAATATCGACTTTTGTATTCGATAACACGATTGTGGCTTCGAACCTTGTTGGAGCTGCCCTTTTCGAAAATATAGTTGGAAGTCTTATGAGGGATAATGAGAGACTGAATGCATCAACAAGCCAATACCACCTCCGCCTCAACGAGCATAATTTGCTAAGATCGCCTGAATGTCTCTATCGTTTTTTGGTAATGCATATTGCTTTTTATTGAATTGGTTGTGATTTTCATTACAATAAAAACAAAATTATCAGAAAAATATGAAATAAAATGCATACACACGCATGCATATGAAAAAAATATTGATATATACTAAGTACTAATTTTTATTAAAAATATTCAAAATAAATACTTACACATTCCCCAGACTTGCATACTAATTTTTATAATGTCATTTCCCCCTTTTCGTGTTTAAGCGGTTTAACGTTTTTTTTGCGATCATGTTCTACTTAGGTTGCCATTTGTTAAAGTGAATATCTGACACTGGAATAATATGAAATAATAAAATATTACATTATATATAAGATGGAACATCGGGTCTTAAAATGATATCAAAACCATGTTCGATTGTGATTTGATTGCTTGTTTAGCACTCATAATTAAGGGTAGTTTGTTAAGGGTTTGTTTATCCCATTTATACATCTTGATGTTGTCCAATCCGGTTTAGGATGTGGGGGCGTGTTGTAGTAAATGTTCCACACCGGAATGATATGAAATAATAAAATACTATATAAGATCCTGAACTACTCTTCCTATCATTTTGAAGTTTTAGGATGTAATCTAAGGTCTTATACCAATCTTGGACATTTTTTAAAAGTTCCATGTGTAATGTATGTCTACTTTTTAACCCGTAGAATTTTGATTCTAGTAATATGGTTCTGAGTGTCATCATTATTTTTAAATAAATGATGCAGGATGTTTTCAGATGGCCAGAATTCATGAAATTGCCGATAGGCCAACGTACTTCTTGACTCGTTATACAGTGAGCGGCCACACATTGAAGCATGCATTTTGCGCAATGCTAGCTCTCATCTTGACTCTAATGCTTGCTCAAAGGGACATTCAAAGAGAGAGGTACTCCATACCTTAACATGAAGAAATTTAAAGATCCTTCATTAATGAATAATCATGGTGATGCTAATGTTTTAAATTGGATTGATTTTTCTGGTTTGGTTTAATCTGGTTTGGTTTGAACTTGTCTATTGTGGTAAATGTTTAGTCTATGTGTATTGTAAAACTATCGACGTCTGGTCTATTTAAGTCTGGTTAGTTTTGATCTGAGATTAAAATAAGTCTGACTAAAAACATCCTTACTATACATATGTACTACGTAGTGGTAATCTAAGATTAGAAATTGCTCTAAATAGGACTCAAACTTAGATAAAACGCACAAATAAGACTATATGTATTTTATTCCCGAAATAGGACTCATTTTATCCTATTAAAAGTATAAAAATTTCCCTGTTAGGAGTGGATAAGTCATATTTTAGAAAGAAAGCAACGATAGTCCCATATGTGCACTTTGTTTATGTTTTAATCCTATATAAATAATTTTCTCATCTAAGATCTCATTTGGTTACACCTATTTTTTGCCTTATAAGTCATATCAACCTACCGTTGTACCAAATATAAAACTTTCGATTTTGCGTATTGATTAGTAAGGTTGGAATTGCATTTCCGGTTAAATTGTACGAAATTGTTGAAGTAGAAAAAAAAGGAAAAGTATGGAAAATGTACTTGTAGTTTGTCCCGTTCTCAAATAGGGGCATGTGTTTCATTTTATTTTTAACAAAGTACGAAATATGTTTCAATTCCGTTTATCACACGAGGGGCATGACGCTTAACTAATATGTCTGAGTGTGCTGATTTTTTCGGCCCTAAACTAATAACTTTTGGGTGGAATTATTTGATGAGGTGCTTTCGTGAGATTTTTGATGAAAATTTGTAAACATGTTTTCTATGAAGTCTACATTATGACCACAAAATTCAATTTTAAGTTCAATCTAAAAGTTAGCTAAATAAATTATTGGAAAGCACTACGCTTTTTATACATATTTTGGCGTGGTGTTTTTCAATAATTTAGACAAAAGAGTGTTTTATGATTTTTTTATATATAAATGTCTTGAAATATTATTATTATGCAGGTTACTTTAGACAGAAAAGAGATTTACATTTTTTAAAAGATTAGACCCATTTTAATTCTCTGCCCATAGGCCTCAAAACATATAGAACCAGCC